AGAGAGAGAGAGAGAGAGAGAGAGAGAGAGAGAGAGAGAGAGAGAGACCTGATGCATCAGATTGAAATAAGGCCTAGTTTAGACTGAGGCCCTTTTTCACATTGAAACATCTTTGCCAGCACATTGAAACATCTTTGGCTTCTATTAAAGGTTTTGTGAACGAAACATGGTCAAGACTATCAGGAAGCTCTCACATTTTGTTGAGGCTTTAAAGAGGATCCATTGGACCAGATCTCCATTCTAAAAATTACTTTTCCCCAGTGTATTAATTACAGTGCCAATTCTGAAGAAGGCAAAACCAAAATGTACTGGTAAATTACAAGGAGAAAACACACACACACACTCCCTTCTAACCTTGCGGGAGCAAGTGATTGGACTAGAATAGATATCTCATTATCTTTCTCCTCCTTCCCTCCCTCCCTCCTTCTTTATTTCTTTTTCTTTCTGTCCCTTCCTTCCATTCCCCCCCCCTCCTTTATTCCTTTTTCTTTCTTTCCATTTTTTCTTTCTTTTCTTCCTTCTCTCTCTGTCTCTCTCTCTCTCTCTTTTCTTTCTCTCTCTTTCCCTCTCTCAGGCTCATCCCATTGACCTGACTTGCTTGGGCAGGTCCCTCCACTGCAGTGGGCTCAATGGGGTGGACCTGCGGGGCCAGCACCTAGAACGTGGAAGTGTCAGCATGTTTGAAAAGTAGAGCAAAGCCAGAGGTCGGTAATTTTTGCTGCAAAGAATCACAAAAGCTTCTGGGTTGTACACTAGAAGGGACACACATGTCAATGCAATTCAGCAATATAAAATAGATACAAATAAAACAAATCAACAAGAATCGGCAAAGCATCTCTGATTAGATTTTATTCACTGCTAGAATCTAATCAGAGATGCTTTGCCGATTCTAGTGCAATGACCTGCTCCAGCAGGGTTAGAAGGGAGTGTGTGTGTATGTGTCTGCATGGCTGTCAAAACTCCAAAACAGGTCAAGTATCTCTGGGGAGGCCAGTCATAAATTAGAACACTTGCTAAGCAACCGGCCATTAAGTGAGGACCACATGTATTTCTTTTGCCAGTCACCTGGCCATGCCCACCCAGTCACATGACCACCAGATCACACCTACCCGGTCATGTGACCAGCAAGCCATGCCCAGGCAGCAAGCCATGCCAGCCAGTCACGTGACCAGCAAGCCACGCCCACCCAGTCATGTGACCAGCAAGCCACACCCTCAAATTAGTCCATGCCCACAGAAGTTTGAATATCACCCCTGGTTGGGGGGCACCAAGGATGAGTTTGTAGCACCAAGGGGGCGGTGGACTGAAAAAGTTTGGGAACCACTGTTCTAGAGACAAAAAATATATGAGAAATATAGACAATAAAGCATATTGACCAAGCTCATGTCCATCCATCTGTATTTAGTCTGCTCAGAATTCTTAGCTAGTGTAGACTGTGACCAGCCTCGCTGGAAATATTAGGGGTGCATGGCTCAGCACCTCAGATTAGATATGTCTGTTTTAAGAAAACCA